TGTATTTCCATTTATTGGTGTCTTCTTTAATTTCACTCATGAGTGTCTTGTAGTTTTCAGGGTATAGGTCTTTCATATCCTTGGTTAGGTTTTTTCCAGGTATTTTGTTCTTTCTGATGCAAGTGTAAATGGAATTGTTTTCCTGATTTATCTTTCTGCTAGTTCATTGTTAGTATATAGGAAAGCAACATATTTCTGTATATTAATTTCATATCCTACAACTTTGCTGAATTCAGTTATTGTACTAGTTTTGGGTTGGACTCTTTAGGGTTTTTTATGTACAATGTCATGTCATCTGAAAACAGTGACAGTTTAACTTTTTCCTTACCAGTGCGATGTCTTGATGCTGTGGCTAGTATCTCCAGTACTAGGTTGAATAAAAGTTGAGAGTGAGTGGTGTATTGAAATCTCTAAAATGAGTGCATTACATTGTATTTCCCCCTCTAATTCTGTTAGTATTTGTTTCACAGATTTAGGTGCTCCTATGTTGGGTGCATAAATATTTATAATGGTTATACCTTCTTGTTGGACTGACCCCTTTATCATTATGTAATGTCCTTCCTTGTCTCTTGTTACTTTCTTTGTTTTGAAATCCATATTGTTTGATGCAAGTACTGCAACTCCTTCTTTTTTCTCCCTATTATTTGCATGAAATATCTTTTTCCTTCTCTTCACTTTTAGTCTGTGTATGTCTTTGGGTTTGAAGGGAGTTTCTTGTAGACAGCACATAGATGGGTCTTGTTTTTTAACCTTTCTGTAATTCTATGTCCTTTGATTGGTGCATTCAATCCATTTACATTTAGGGTGATTATCTATAGATGTGTACTTATTGCCATTGCAGGCTTTGTGCAGTTACCAAACGTTCAAGGACAGCTTCTTTACTATCTAATTAATGGTCTAACTTAACTTGCTTATATGCAATTTCAAACACAATCTAAAGGTTATTTTTTCCCCTCCTTTCTTTTTCTTTCTCCTCCACTCTTTATATATTAGGTGTCATATTCTGTACTTTTTGTGTATGCCTTGACTGACTTTGTGGGTAGTTGATTTAATTTTGCATTTTCTTAGTAATTAATTGGTCTACTTGCTTTACCATGTTTATTTTCTCTGGTGATGGCTATTTAGCCTTGGGAGCATTTCCATCCATAGCAGCCTTCTAGGGTATTTTAAATACTGGCTTTTCTAGAAATTGAAAAGGAATATCCAATATCCAACTATACAATTTTTCAGTCTACATTTTAAGCAATTTTAATGGATTATTTCTGGAGAGTTCATTAATTTTCATGGACAGTGGTCTTAATACATATTTAAAATGGACATGAAAGTTGACATACTTATTCATTAAAAATGAAGTTAAGTTTGAAAAACATTATTGCTAAAGAATCCACTGGGTAAAGTTAGACGACAAGGACCATTTCCTGAGGGACACACCCAGGATAGGAGGTCACAAACCAGGGTTTAACTCCTTGTTCAGTTTCTGAGCACTATGAGCTTGGGTAGCCATTTGAACTATGTTCTCTTTCAATTTAGTTGAATTTATCGACTATATTAAGGTGAGTGATCTTTACAATGTATAAGGTAGACTAAGTAAGTTTTAAGATCTATTCAAGGTTGGTGATTCTTTAATCAGCAATTAAATAAAGTTCATTAAATCGGTACAATTAAATGATTTGCATTTGGAGAAATTTGCATCCTTTACCTAAGGCCCAGGACCCAATTTACACTTGTCAGATACATTTCCTCCCTGAGGTAGGTAATCCCCCCCGGGACACGGTCCTGGTTCCCTCTGGGAAGACACCAGGATATGTTCACCCTGACATCGAGACTCTGCTCTAGAACCAGGCTTTTCAAGCAGAACTCTGTGGTCATTCACATGTTGGGTTAATGAAGAAGAGTGGGAAATGCGTGCATGTTAAGAGCGCATTTGAGTCCTTAAGGTCACTAATTTAATCTTCTAACACTGTCGATTATTTAAGGCATTCCTAAATTATACTAAGTCTTAGTTAGCAAAACCAGTCTCCTTGTTTAAAGTCTTAAATCTGATTTTAAATAGTCTTTATTTATGTGAACAAGAAGAAAGACACTTTTTACTTCCTATAGTTCCCCGCCAAAAAGCACTAGAGATCACAAGACTGAAGAGCCCAGCCATTTAAATATTGTTATAGGGCAAACTTCACCTCAGACTTGCTGTAGCATTTAAGATGTCAGTTTTTAACAGGCATGAAGAAAATATAGCAGGCAAACAAAACTGATGGTCCTCTTATCATTCATGGATGTAGAAGAAGGCGATGCCATTTTATTTGCTGTCTCAGTTGCCTGTCTTCTTTATGCTTCTGAGCCACCACGGTGTTGGCTCAGCCTCCACAGACAGGAAATGGCTGGTGGGCAGCTTTTTGCTTTCTGCTATCCCCAGAGCTCCTCCTTCCCACTGTTTTCTGCTGTGTCTGGCCCCTTTGGGTTGGGACACAGAAAAACTAAGAGGAAAAGGGGACAGGAAAGCCTTTCAATGAACAAATCTCCCCTGAGCTGGTGTCAGTGCACCAGGGTCTTGGCAGAGTTGAAATTTTCTTTTGTCCTGAGATTTGTAAATCCTCTGGAGGCCCTGTGTGCCCCCTTCCCACCCACCTGCACCCACCTAAGAACCTTCCAATCTAGTCCCTCGGGTATGGGAAATGTCCTACAATCCAATGGCATTTCAGCATGTCTCTCCCAGACAGCCCTTTAGGATTCATGTTTTTTCTGGAGGAAACATTTATCTGTTCTTTACTTGGGCAGTTTGCAGGGGTGCAGTTATATCACAAACCCCTGTCCTTTCTCTTCCAACCTGGGCATGTCTCTAGGATGGCTTTGTCACCAGCCCTCTGTCAGGTCCTTTTGGGGAGGAGGCTCTGCAGCAGATGCTGGGGCCATTTGGTGATTTCTTTAGGGCTCATTCTCCTAAATGGGGGGTAAGGAGCACATGCTCTTATCTCTCCCCTTTGGGGTTGTGACAGAAACACTTCTCCCTCCTAAAAAAAAAGTGCCTCCAAATACCTTCAGTTGCCCAGATCCAAACCCTTATATCCTCCATGTGCAGGAGAAGTTTCAGAATTCAGTATTCTTACCACTATAAAAAAACTGTTCCCAATTTGAGGGGCACCAGTTTAATATACACTCCACGTGAGACTAAGGTATCCTCATTCACAACAATACCAGGAGCTCCTCCCCTCTGCTTACCTTGGTTTGCCTCAAGGGGCTTGTTGACTAGTTTCTTAGAACTTATGAAAATAGCTCTTTGAACATCATTGTATCTGCTGATACCTTATTATATACATTGCACATGGTTTATAATTACATAAAACTAAAATAATTGGAATGTAAAATGATGTATCTACAGAGGACGTTTGGAACTTCATCTCAAAATTCCCTGAATTAGATTTTTCATGTTTTGTTATAAAAAATTATTAAGCAAATTATCATCCCAGTTTGAGATGAGATGCTTTTTTATTACTTTTTTCATTTAAAATAATAAAAGATCAGAAATGTTGTTAGTCATTTAAATATACATTTAGGAATTCAAGATTAGGAAGTACATTCTAGGGAGTCTGAAGGTGGATTATTCACTAGGGTGGTTGCTAGGCTCATAGATCTATATAAACTTAGATTTAAATTAATTAACTTTTATAAAATCAAAGTTTCTGGTTCTCAGGGGCACTCGTGACATTTCAAGTGCCCAATAGGCATTACTGGCTAGAGACTTCTGTATTAGACAGTGAAAATATTTTTTAAAATGTGCTTCATTGTAGGATTCAATTGGACAGCACTGGTCTAAAGAAAGATGCCCTGATTGCACCCATGGACACTTTCCCAGTCTGGGTGGGTGGAGGGACGTGTGAGAGTTCCTTGGCTTGGGCCATCTAAGGCAGAATTGAGGGCTTTTACCATATCAGTGGTTAGATGCCCTTTCTGGAACAGGTCTGTGCTTTAGTGATACAATATAGGATGGTTTCATGTTGGGCCAGAACTGCACCTCTGAATTGTAGAACGTGGTTGCAGGGACATTATCCTGCTCTGACTACATCCAGATCTAACTGCCTCAGAGAATCTTAAGAGGGACAATGTGAAGACATGACACCTGCCAACTGAACTCACTACGAAATGCTAACATTTGTTTTGAAAGAAACCAAGCTGATTTACAAGTGTGAGAGATTTCCCTTTTCTTTTCCTATGTCCCTAATATAGTTATGATTTAGTCAATTTATTATGGAAAACTAATGCAAGTTCTCTTTTTAAAATTAACCTCTTTCGTTTCAAAAGAGCAGGAAAGGATGAGATAAAACCTACAGATGTTGGAAAAAATATATACATCCTGTTTGTTTTCTGTACAAAACAAAAGGTTAGAGTTATTATTTTTTCTTCAAAATGAAGAAAATACCTCTTCGGTCATCTGTAATAGGTCAGAGCTATTTTGAACAGTTTGATGTCATTTCTATATCCCTCAAGGAAACAAAGGGGAAAGTCAAAGGAAAAGGAAAAAGCTTTTGATAAGTTATGCCAGCCACTGGTCCCCAGGAGTGAGGCATCCTGTTTTTATCGTGTGGCTGAAAAACAGTGGAAAAACATTCACTGTGATCAATGGCATCCACTCTTTTGTTATTTCAACGTTACCTGCCGTAATTCCCTAAATAATCAAGCGAAGGGAGGGCCTTTTAGTGTCAGCTGTGAACCCATGGGCCAGTCTGGGTAAAGGTTACTGGAAAATCACAGCGTGGACTGGAGAAAGAATGGTGACATGCCAGAGGAAGCCCATGATAGGAGTGACATGCACAATCTTGAATGTCTGTCACCACTAGATTTTATGACAGTTCTATCAACACCATCAACGAGTCCTTGCAATTATTGTAAAAGTCAGTGGGCTATATGACACATAAAAAGTAACAGAAAATTTAATGCTCATAAAAATGAAGAATTCTTTCCAAACAAAAATGGCTCTTACATGGACTTTTTGTTGTTCCCCTTAGGATTTCTGCATCCATCAATCACTCAATCCTTTGAAAGGACTTCTGGGAAAATGACCTCAGAGGTTTTGCTACCAAAGGGGGCCTGTCCCAAAATGCACCTCTCTGGCACACTGGATTATTTTGAGCTTAAGACCATTGAGGCCCAGAGTCAGGAGAGCTTCTTTCCTCCCCCTTTCCTGCCTCTAAGAAATAAGGTTGAGGGCCTGGTGAAGAAGAGAGCCACCACCAGAGGTAACTCCAAAAGGGGGGGCTGGGTTTGGGGGTCAGGGGGTGCCACATAACTGGGCAGACCTGTTTGTTCCAACGTCTCTGCTGTCCCCTCGTCTCTGCTTGTCTCAGCAAAAATCTGTCCCCCAAGCACTGCTCTTCCCATTCTCCTGTGAATTGTCTTCCTCCCCTTTGAAGCCATAACCTCATCCCTTTCCCCAGTTAATGGCATATAAGACTTGGCTGCCTTACTCGGCCTTGATCTCATTTCCTTGGGGTTCCTGTATGGACAAAATTACATTTTTCTCCTGTTAATCTGTCTTATGTCAACTTAATTAGTAAATCAGCCAAAAGAACTGAGAAGGGTAGAGGAAAAACTTTTGCCCCCCTACACTTGATGGCCAGAATAGACCGACTTCACTGTCCGGACACGGCTTGCTGCGAGGCTGCTGTGGTGGAGGCCTCCTGGGACTCTACCGAAAAGCCAGCACAAGGTACAAGTTCTCACCATGCCCACCTCCTGGATGCCTGCCCACAGGGTCTGGTGGAAGTGAGGTGGAGGCTGGCCTTTCCATTTTTCCCCTTTTCTGAATTTGGATTTGCTGGAGAAATGATTGTGGACCTGGCTTCTTGGGCTGGTGACTCTGGTACAGATTTATTGTGAGTGCTCCAGTTTGCATGGATCCTTTTCCCCCCAGAGATGGTCATTATTTCTGTCTTTTTTTGTTGTGTCACATGTCATAAGGAGGAAAACTAAATGGTAGAATGTAGGCTGAGGTCCTGTAAGCCTGCTGTTTGAGCCACTTTCACAGACTGGTGAGTCCGCAGTGCTTACCAGAATGCTGTTGGTTTAGAAAAGCTGTGCTGTGGGTTAATGTGCCCATTAGGTAAATTCTGTTGCAAAGGGACAGCTTGGAAACCAAAGCCACAGAATTGGAGGGCATGGGTTGAGCACTTAAGAACTATTGGAAGGCTCATCACGTAAGTCAAAGACCTACATGTTAGGTTAATTTGGTCATGAAACAGGTTTGCCTGATGCTGGGCCACCTGAAAACTCAAGGAAATTCCTACACAAGGAGACACACTGCCAAGCACCACACTGCCCGCCCCGGCCTTGTGGTCCATCCTTCTTGAGGATTCATTCGTCTCCAGAGACCCAAGACTTGGCTAAAGCTCTTACTGTGCGTATGAGAAAAACTGGTTGAGGTTTTCTTTTGTCTTTCTGTGTCTTGAGGGCTTGGCTTTGTGACGAGTGAGAATATTCTCTTTGGTCTCTGCCATTCAGAAGGTGCACATACCCTGCACATCTTGGTGGCCAGTGGAACAGATGAGGCTTCCCAGACATGAAGCCACACTCAGCCTTCCATTCTCCTTGTCCGGCAGGGCCAGCTCCCAGGAGGTCTGTCATGAGGGGGCCCAGTCACACGGGGCTTTGCCAGCTGAGCATTCATGGTCTCTTCACATGCTGAAAAAGCCCCCTTCTGATGATGTCCCAGATTGGCAGGCCTGTGACTGGACACATCTCACGTTATCATGGGAGCTCGGAGATAACCACTCACTACACTGTCCTTACTGCCTGTGACAGTGAAGGTCTTTGCTCTCTTAGGCTGACCTGGGAATGAAACCTTCTGGATTTTGAGGGCTGCATCTTTTGCACCCTTCTTTGGGAGGACTCTCACATCCACAGACAATCCACAAAGAGGCATGTTGGTTTGAGCTGCTGTTGAGATTAGCAGATCTTACTCATCAATGGCTACAAACAAAGGATTCTTTGAATTGACTGTATGTATTTTTAAAAATACATAGAGAACTTGCACCCTAAGCAATTGTTTTATCGGTACCCATGGCAACACCAATTTAAAAAGAAAACACGACAGAGCGCAGTGGCCAGCCTTGGGGACTTCCTCAACAGGATGGAAGAGAAGAAATTAGATTTAGAACAAACATTAATGCCTGTATCCCATACAAATTCCCCTTCTCAAAATCTAGCCCATTTGCCTATTTTAACTTCCCTTTCCCTACGGGATTTATGGAGTCCTTGGCTTGATGTGCAGGCCCTGGGTACACGGGCGACTCATGGAACCGCTGAGAGCCAGGAGGTGCCCTGGCTCAGGTACCTGGGACAGGCAGAGGGCCCCCACCGTGTCTCCCGGTTCCTCCTGTTCCCAGGGCCTTGTAAGCAGGTTCTGCCTGCGTCTGGCCTTCCTGTCCAACTTCCTTTGTGGATACTCTCTGGACTCCTGCCACAAAGAATTCATGTCCCATGGACAGCAGCAGATCTTTCAAATTATACAGCCCCTTTACTCCCACTTTCAGGTGATCCCACAGTTAGAAAGATTAATGGCCATTCCCAGTCCTACTCACAGGGACCGCGATAGGGCTGAGGGGTTTCTTCCTATGCATGTTACACTAGTTAACAGACAAACCAGACAGTTCCCTGAGGAGCCCCCCACACCAACACAGAGGAAATAAATGACCATAATTTATCCTAGGTCCTCCTACAAATGATCAGCTAAAGCTGATGTTCAGGGGCTGTTAGGAGAAATAGCAGAGGCTGGCTGTGAGTGCAGAAATAGCAGAGGCTGGCTGACTAAGAAATAGCAGAGGCTGGCTGTGACAAATAGCAGAGGCTGGCTGTGAGTGCAGAGGCCCAGAGGCAGAGCCCGGCTTGCTGCCTGCAGACTCGCTCTGAGTGGACAGGATTCTAGAGATCAACCCACCACCGTGGAAATGAAGTTAGGTATAAACCCTTTCACCCCAAGAACATCCTACTGTCATTTCTTTGGTCACACTGAATCCATAGTGAACTTGACAGGGGCTGAAACCCATTGGCAAGACAGGGGAAAAGGTTGTTTGAAACTTAGGTAAAAACAAACAAACAAAAAACAAAATATCTTCTTTACAAATATTCATCTGTCTTATGGGAGCCCCTGGGCAAGTCCACTCTGGATTTGGCGAGACCAAATAACAATGCAACATTGTGGGTAAAAGGGTTTCTACCAATCTTTATTCTCATGGTGGCAGGTCGAGTGCTGGAATCACATATACCTCTGGAAAGTCTGCAACCTGTCTCCATCTCTGCCTCTGAGCAGAGCTCTTTATATAGTGACTCAGTCAGTAAAAGCTTGTTGCCTAGGGGTGTGGAAACATTAGCCCAGCAGTAGGCCAATTATATCATCAAGTAGATTATGGTCAGGTGAGGATTCTGGCTATAGGCACTTCCATTTTCCCTACATCATCTTACTGTTAAAATTTTAGAAGGGAAGCTGTGAGGTCTCTGCATCTGTCTGGATGTTGGTGTATGTCATATATGTGCTGTGGATGGAAATGTGTGGTATTTTCTACCTCTGGATTGTATTGCCCAAATTAACTTGCAAAAGAGCTCTATTTAATTGGCCTAAGGAAAATTCAGTGCTTATGTAAATTAAATTCTCAGAAATGTAATAGAAACTAATCCAAGTTAATTTCAGGGAAAATATTTGGTATTAAAGGTAGTTTAAGCTTGTTGGTTTAATTAAAACAGGCATGTCTTCAGAGTTATCAGCATTAAATATAATACTTTTGTTCTAGTTAGGCTTTCTAATAGTCAAATGAGTTTCTGTTATCTCATAAAATTTGTCACTAAGAAAAATAAATTAAGATGATGGCTAACTGCTTTAATGTCTCATGAAATTTTCATGAGTAAAGCTAAGTATGATTGTTAAAAGCAAATTAACTAAACAGATGTGAGTTCAAAGGTTTTAGGTGAATTTTTTTTTAAATTTGTTTTCCCAAATATTTTGGTAACTTGAAATCTTAAAGTTTTGCTGTGTTAAAGGATGAGTTAAGTTAAATTCATTGAATATTCATATCCTTCCTGAATAAGATACAATACTGATACATTAATTACTGAACATAGGTTTATCTGCTTTTTGTTTCCTTTTACAGAGGAATTAACCCTATTTGTGTGTATTAGTAAATATGTTTTGTGACACACTGAGAAATTAGCTATGAAAAAGAATATGATTCCAAAAACTATAAAAAGTATTTATAAATTTGCCAAGTCACATAATGCCATTATAAAAGTTCATAATAGTTTATTTCTTTATTTTTCACTAAAATTAAGGTTTTCAGGGTTAAATAATTATAATATATATGATCAAAACTAGTAGCAATAGTAGAAGAAACATCTCTGAATGCAAGAAAAGGAGGATGTATATTTCCAGTAAAAGAAGGTATGAGAAATGGGAATGAATTTTTACTGAGAAAAAAGGAAATAATTTTGTATTAAAGCTAGGCTGATCACCTTGAAATGGGATAAAGAAAAACATAGGACAAAATATAAATGTAAAGAAGAATATTGCAGAAAGTGTATGAGAAAAGAATTGGAAAAAGACTTTATGCATGGTCAAGCTGGCAAGGATTAAAATAAATGTATTTGAGAAAAACTGACCTTTAATAAAAAAATAAGCTAGTGCAAAGTTATAATTTTGTTTTCTAAGTTTTCTAGGACTATTTGTTTGCCCCTAGTAAGAGAGTGTAAAAGATTTTTCTTTACCTTTAAAAGAATCTGCCTAGACAATATAGATTTTTTGCCCTGAAAATAATTTTCTGAGTTTCATTTACTCATCAAGTCTTTGATTAATTAAGAAAACAGAGTCTTTTCTGTTAAAAAAGCTAAGCTGTTCTTTATTTAATGTTCTTTACTTGCCTTCTAAGTCTTTGTCACTGTGGTTAAATAGTGACATATCTAATTATCTAAATAATAGATTTCTAAGTATTGTTTCACAGTGACCTTTGAACCTATTTAACCAAGCTTTTTAAAGATTTTATTATTTTTGGCAGATTTCTCCAAAATTCAAATTCTAAGTGAAATCTTTTTGACCTTGAAGTAACTTTGGGTTTTCCAGAGGTACCTTGAATATCTCAAAAGATTGGTTCTCTCCTTACAAAGAAAAGAGATGTTGAACTAAGTAGGTTTACTTGATACATTAAATTACATAGGAAGCAATGAAATAAGAAATAATACTAAGTCTTCTTTATGA